AACACATCCCTTTCAAATCACTACCACTAACTTGAGGCACTTTAAATTTTACAGAATCTCCTACACCCTTGAATGTTTGCCAATAGGGATGTTTGGAAGTCAATCCCTGCACAATAACAAAACCATAGTCTCTAATTAAACTATAGAATACACAAGAAGATATGTTTTTTTTTTTCAAAAAATTTAAAAATAGAGAGAGAAAGAAAGAACCTGTGAAATACTCTCTTAAAGAGGGTTAATAATTTGGTCAATCTTTCCAACTTGAATTAAGAGATATGCCAAGCAATCTCTTGACATTGAGATGTTGGTGCAATTTGTGGTATATGAGGATTCCAACATTCTTGTGACCCCTCTATTCACTTGAGTTTGGATCTCTACTCCACATTCCAATAAACGACTTTGTTGCTTCGGTAGGTTACAAGGAATTGATGAAGGAGAAGGGAAGCAACTACTTAGCATATTCCACAAAATTGAAGATGGCATGCCCCCATATGTTCGAATAAGAGACAGAGCATTGTTTGTTGGGTTCATCCAAGACCGAATAAGAGGAGGGAACACTTCACGTGATAATCCTTGATACCCACAAAGAGATATGAATCCAATGCTTTTTAATCTCACTAATGAAAAAGGTACTTGTGTTATTGCAGTGTTATCGGCAATTAGAGTTGTTAGTGAGCCCATTTGCTCTATGTCCTCCTCTAACTTGTCAATCTTCAAACAACCAGAAAGAATGAGAGTTTTCAATCGTTTCAATTCATAAATGCTTCTTGGGAGACAATGAAGGCCAGTGCAATCCTTCAAATTCAACAAAAGAAGCTTATCAAGACTCCCAATAGAATGATCTATCATGGACAAACTTGGACAATCTTTGAGGATCAACTTTTCAAGATTTGGTAGTTTTGAAAAATCAGGAGTTTGCACCAATGAAGGAGAGTGGCTGAGATTCAGGATTTCAAGCCTCTGCAATAACTACAATGAAAACATTTGATTTCAAAGGGGAATTAGACAAGTGCATCATGAAAAAATATATATTACGTTGACACATTAATCCTTCATCAAATCCAAAAAGGAAAAAATTAGAAAAAGGAAAAAAAGTATTATCATAATGAACGTTCCCTTACAATGAGGGTTCATATTCATCTAGGTAGATTAAAAATATCACAAGTTTTCAAAGATACAAAGCGACGGAATAAGAAAAGGCAAAAACTTCAAGCGAAGACCATTATTTTTAATGAATCATGAAAGGAAAAAATATCTATCATCATGAAGATTTTAATGGCTAGATCTAGCTATATAGCAAGACATATAAAGGAATGTGAACTAAAGAAAATCTAGCAGCTTTATTCTTCAATGGTAGTAGCAAATGAAGATTCATCAATAAGCTATGATAAAAACATGAGATAAAAATCCATCATGGAGGCCGTAAGGTAAAATCCAATGAAAAATAGAGTACCATATTTACACGTCCCAAATCCCTCTTTTTATTCTCTATCCCCTTTTTTCTGATATCCATAAGCTTTAATTTAAAGCTAATACCATACAGCCAATAAATAAATAATTACCAAAATACTTTATCACAAACTATTTACCATAATTCTACAAGAAGTAATTTTGTAAATTGTCAAAGAAACTAGGCTTTCTGTATGTAGCATTTTTTTAATTTTTTATTTTTTGTTGCATATGGCTTAAAAAAGCCAACAAATAAAGTATTAATTCACGTACCAGGTGTTTCTGCCACACTTGTCTGAGGCTGCTATATTTTAAGTCAATAGCAATTAGATTTTCTTGATAAAATTTGCTAGGAATGTATTTCTCTGGAAAGCCATGCCAGCAAAGCCATCTGAGATCGCTACTAATATATTTATAGTCTCCTCTTAATCGTACATTCTCAAGGCGAAGTAATCTGAGTCTCTCCATCTTCTTAAATGCTTTTATCTGGAAATGCAATTTTTCTGTTTGTGACAACTTCAAAGCCAGTCCTTCAATACCTTTTGTTCCCTGCGAAATAAAAGCTTATCAAAATCGAAGTGTGCACTTGTGCTACATTGTTTGCCGTAAAGAAAAATAGAACTATGTCATAATCAAGCTTCTAGAGGATGTAACTACAAAATGAGTTTTAAAACGCATGCAGAAATTAAGAGGCGAAACCACAAGGTTTCTATGATCAATTTATTGATGCTCATTTTCCCTTTTTGCAGTACATGTTAACATGAAGCAGCATGAAACAATAAATATAAGATATAGGAGTTCTTACCGTGTGTTTTGATAATACAAGAGCATCCTCATGACACCATAGCCTACTTCTCTTCCCAAGTTCATTTGGAGATTTTTTACGAATTATTTCTCTTCCCATGTCCCGCAGCAAATCATGCATGCCAAGCTTGTTCTTCACATCAACGGTCACAAGGCTTCGCTCCACAAGGGTTTTGATTCCAAGGTCAGCAAAAAATCCACAAGCATTTAATATCTGTGTCACATAATTGCTGTCCATCCCAATAAAGAAGCAAGATATATCAAGGAATATTTCTTTCTCCAAATGATCACTTAAACCATCAAAGCTTATTTTTAGCTTCTTTTGTATCTTGTGAGGGGGAATTTTTTTAAGTTTCTCAAATACACTCTTCCATTCCTTCACTGTTCTATCAAATAAAAAGCATCCAAGGACTTCAAGAGCTAGTGGAAGTCCCCCAGAATATGCAATTATATTTCTTGAAAGTTCAATGAAATCTTCCTGAGGATTTTCTTGTTTAAATGCATGCCAACTAAAAAGCTCAATGGATTCCCTTTCATCCAAGTTCTTCATTCTATATACATAGTCCACTTGAAGGACATCAAGTAGACGTTTATCTCTAGTTGTGATGATTATTTTACTACCTGGACCAAACCAATCACGACTTCCAACTAAAGCATTTAGTTGGCCCAACTTATCCACATCATCAAGCACAACAAAGGCCCTTTTATGGCGAAGTCTGTCCCTCAAAGTGATTTTTCCTGATTCAATGCTGTTTATTCTCATTCTTGTTGTTTTACAAATTTCACAAAGAAGTTGGTTCTGTAAATGCACTTGGCCCTTTTTTTTATCCCAACTTTTCTGATCTTTGAAAGGCAACTTCTACTCTCAAATGTGCGACCAATTTCATTATAAATGGCTTTGCCAATAGTTGTTTTGCCTATGCCCCCCATTCCCCATATCCCTACCATGATAACATCTTCTGATTGATGGTTTTGAAGCATTGTGATCACTTCTTGCATGCGATCATCTACTCCTACTGGGTGGTCTGCGATAAACAGGTCTTTCTTGTCTAACATCTCACAAACATTCTCAACAATATTTTTAACGTCTTCGCTCTCATTCCTGCCAATCATATAAAAATAATAGAAAATGAGCATATTGGATATACAAGCACGATTACAAATATCAAGATTTTGAAAGATACATGTGTTTGGAGAAGAAATGATATTATGAACAAATTATGGATCGAAGCGACAGGACCTAGCTAGTCGTAGTTACAACAAGAGAAAATATATTAATTGTAGGTTTGATAATAATATTCAAGGATATGCAGGCAGAACAATACATATATTATTATTGAGAATTTTACAATTTGTAACTTATACGGAATAATTTAAAACTAAATAGTAAAATTATTTTTAAAACAACCTTGTATTTTATATGGAAACCAATGGTAAAAAAAATAAAGAAAAATGAAGTTTGGAAAGTGAGACATTACAAGGGGCATTAGAGAGAATCACATTGAAGTTCTTAGCCCCCTTTCTCTCTCCATTGAGTGATTTCCAATTTCTAATAAACACAAACCCCAATTTTTTTTTTTTTTTTGAAATAGACCGAGTGCAAACATTCACATATGCCTATATATAAGGAGGCTCTTGAAATTTTAATTTAAAGATGCAATTGATGAAACTCTACCTAGCAGGGAACAAGCCAAATTAAGTTGTACACCAAAACGTGTATCGAGTGATATCTATTCTAAATAATTAAAACCAAATAAAGAGTGAAAAAGTACCTAGAACCAAGTACAACAGACCCTGCAATGCCCCCAGCATTTAGAAGGGATGTCCTCCACATCAAAACTTGATCTTCTGGTGGTGAAATTCTTTGTATAAGATTTTTAAATGCTTCCCCAAAACTAAAAGTTTGATTACGAATTTCTGATGGGTCCACGTTGTAAAACACAGGTAGAACCACTTGACCTTTTGATTTGTTAAGCTCCATTATCATTGACAATTCCTCCAAACACCATTTAGATCCAGCGTATCCCTCAGAAAATATAATGATTGAGATCTTTGAACTTCCAAGTGCTCGAAGTAATTCCATTTTGATATGATTTCCTCTGGGAAGCTCAATGTCATCTTTGAAAACGATAATACCGGCATTACATAGAGCCGAATAGAGATGTGAAGTAAAAGTTGACCGCGTGTCTTCACCTCTAAAACTCAAGAATACCTCATACCTATGACCTGAATGTTAGAAATACAAAATACCGAAAAAATAAATTATTATTTAAATTAACATGGTATAAAATAAAATTAAAATATTATTATGCATGATATAAAATTTTTTATAATCTAGGATAATAAAATGTCTTAGATATTATGGATACTAATATCAATATCAATACTACATGTATGTCTGATACATGAAGCGCACACATTCTCACAAAAGCATAACCTACCTCCAATTTGTAGCTCGTTTTGTGAACTTTCACGTATTATTTGTCTTCCCATGTGCTGCAGCAAGTTATGCACCCTAAGTTTGTTGTTCTTGTCAATGGTTACAAGGCTTTTATCCACTAAGACTCTTATCCCACTGCTAGCATTACATCCACGGCCATCCAACATTTGTATCACATCACTCATGTCCTTCCCGATAAAAAATAAAACTATATTAAGAAATATTTCCTTTTCTTGATCATCTAAAGAGTCAAAACTAACATTCAGAATTTTGTATATATCCTGATTGAGAGATGTGGTTAGTTTCATCAATGCTGACTCCCATCCTAACAATGACTGCCCATGCGACATAACAGAGCCCAAGACTTTAAGAGCTAGTGGCAGTCTCTCAGTGTAGGCAACCATTCTTCTTGAAAGCTCGATGAATGTTTCTGGACTTTCTTGTCTAAATACATACCTATTGAAAAGCTCAGTGGACTCACAATTGCTCAAGAGTTTCATGGCATAGACATGGTCCACTTGAAAGGCCTCAAGTAAGTGTAAATCTCTAGTTGTAATGATTATTCTACTCCCTTCACCAAACCATTCACGAGTTCCCCATAAAGCTTCTAGTTGCTCCAACTGATTCACATCATCAAGCACAACAAGTACCTTCTTAAGGTAAAGTCTTATGCTTCCTAATTCAATGCCAACTATGCTTATATTTGATGGTCCACATATCATTCCACGAAGTGTACTTTGTAAAGAACTTCCTTGTCCCATTCCCCAAGCTTCCCTGACGTTTGAAAGAAAACATGAACTCTCAAATTGGGGACGAATGTTCTCATAAATGAGTTTAGCAATAGTTGATTTGCCAATACCCCCCATTCCCCATATCCCTACAGAGACAACATCTTTTGACTGATGATTCTGAAGCATTGTAATCACTTCTTGCACTCGAGAACTCAATCCAACTAGGATATCTGTGGCAAACGGGTCTTTCGTGTCCAGCATACAACGAACATGCTTCACAATATTCTCAATATCCTCACTTTCATTCCTGTGAATTACAAAGAAGAATAATAGAAAAGGGAGCATTGATGATTAATTAAGCATGACTACAAACAAAGAAGAGATAATGACAACCCATCGCAATTCGCATCATCAATTTTATGAATCAATAAATATTTATAGATCTTTTAAAAACTAATAGTTGAAGGTTGCGACAAGAATTGCACTCACACACACACACACGCAAAATATTATAGCAAAATTGAAAATAAATAGAACACAAATCAAAAGCAAAATAAATTACTTGGATTTGGAATTAGGCACAACAAACTTAACCATGCGTCCAGCTTCACTAAGAGCTGCCGTCCACCTCGACACTTGATCATCAGTGGGTGAAATTCTTTGTACAAGATTTCGAAACTCTTTTCCAAAATTAGATTTTTGATCGCGAACATCAGAGGGATGTACACCATAAAAAATGGTCACAACTACCAGGTAGCGTGCTCTGCGAAAGTCCATGATTTTTGCAAGTTCATCGAGGCACCTTTTGGAACTAGCATAGTGTTCAGAGAACATAATTATTGAAATTCCAGAACCTTCAATGCTTCGCAACAGTTTGATTGAGATATCATATTCACTGTTAAGCTCAGTATCGTCTTTGATAATGCAAATTCCAGCATTCTTTAGAGAGGAATTGAGACGGTAAGGGAAAGATTCTTGAGTATCTTCTCCTCTCATAAAACTCATGAACACTTCATGTTTATTGCATAAACCTTAAATTACACAAACACATAAAAAGGATATTTACAGGTTAATATTTATAGTGAAGGACCATTAAAATTGTTTGCAAATATATTGCAGAAGCAAAAGATCATTCATTGGCCTCATCCCCTAAAAAGACAATAGATATGATTTTTTTTTTGGTTTTCCTTTTTTCTTTTTGGGTTATATTTTCCCTTCTTTCTTCTCCCCCAGGCTCTGCTGGAGAAGCAATGGTGCAGTTCATTGAAAGACACATTCACGTAGCATTTTGTCTCTAATTGCAAAATCAAATTTTTATTCCCTTTTAGCCAAATCCTGTGTTTTCTATTTCTTTTCCTTTAAAGGAACTTGCATGTCTTTATTTTAGAATTTATAAAATTTGTGATTCGTTAGCGTAATTAAAGATGTTACAAGACATCAACAATTAAAATATTATGTTTATTTTTGAAAAAATTAAAGAATCAAATGAAATAAAATTTGCCTCAAACATGATAGCTTCCATTATGAAGATACTTATGTGCAACAACAAAAAAATGAAATGAAAATGAAATTGGAAGCATGTAAAATTTAAAATGGAGTAGATTTTAGATGGGCATGAGATATAAAATATGTTGGCACTGAAAGTGGAAGGATAAACGGTTACCCTGGTTGTTCATAGGCTCATTCACTAGATCCATGGAATCTTCCCTCCGTATCCGCTTCAATGATATCGTACTGTTGGGATGTTCAATCGTTTCTTTCTGAGGAAGAAGAAGAAGAATCCGTTAAAACTGGAGCTGCTAGCAAATCAAGATCTATAAACGAAACATAGAGATAGGGGGGGGAAAGGAATTATAAAAAAAAAAACAAAAAAAGTGTAGATGGAGCGGAAAGTTAGATGGGAATTGCTGGGTTGGTGAAAGAGACACTATCAGGAATCTAGTTGATGATAAAGATCAGAGAAGTAGAGAAAGATTTAAAAACGAGGCTTTTGCTGCTTCTATTATATACTGATCACGAAGGTGTAGTGAAAGAAAAGTATGGCTACCAGAAGAGTGAATGGAAGAAATTAAACATCCATATTCTTCTTTTCAGATCGGCTCAGAAAGTACCTATCAGACCAGACACTTGTTCATATAATAATTGATCAGACATAGATAGAGGCTTTTGCTGCTTCACAAGCATCTCATTCCCAAAGATGTTCTCCAGAAATTATGACGCAGTGAGGCTTTGGTGAAGGTAGATACCAAGAAAGTGAAGGGAAGAAACAGGTGTGGCTTCGAGGTGAAGAAGCGAACTAAGGAAAGAGAGGAAAGCGAAAGCAAATTCGGACATTAATTATTATAATGCAAAGTTCGCGAAGTGAGGTTTTGTGGCTTTCGCTGAAATTGCGGGTTTCCTACAAGCAGTATCTATTACTGCAACAAATGTTCCAAGTGATGAAGCATCTTGATTTTAAAAGTACTAGAGTTGGAACCCAAGAAAGTGGGGATGAATTGTTAATTAATTGTTTAAATAAAAGCAAGTATATTTTTTTTTATTTTAATTTCAATCACTTTCAGTTCATCCAATCTCCGCTCTTCTTTTGTCATTTTGTGAGGGAGAATGTTAATTGTTCGACATTATTAGCTTGATTTTTGAATGTTAATTGTTCGACATTATTGGCTTGATTTTTGAATGTTAATTGTTCGACATTATTGGCTTGATTTTTTTTTTTTAATCAGTGGCTTGATTTTATTTCAAGGTTGAAACCAAAATTTTTCTCTCCACTGAATTATCAAGGAATTGATAGTAACACGCCACTGACATAATGTTGCATCAAGTATCAAGTATTAATCTAGCCGTCCAAAAAGAAAAAAAGAAGGGATGAAGAAGCTCTCGCTTCCTATCAAACCTACAGAAATATTAATATGAAATATAAAATTGATAATAAGTAGTATCATTATTGTGCTCACAAGAATGATATAGTTTATGGCAGCACGATGACTCAAAAAATCATGATACTGACGTTGCTACTAATGTTCAGATGTTACATTGTCTTATGGAGATTTAGAGAAGAATTATTTAGTTTATTTAATTTTGAACAATAGTTTGGTACTTTAGTTTTTTAATATTTATTATTAAAATTATGAATTTTATTATATTTATTTTATTTTTATTTTCTATGTTTATTTGAAAGGACAAAAAGCATTAAAAAATATATATACAAAGGTCTGAGCATACAGGGCTAGCCAAGGCTCAAGAGGTTGAGGGACAAGCTTTGCAAACAAGAGATGTACTTTTTTTTTTTTGGGTATAAGCAGAGTTTTTGGACCCTTTGAGAAAGCTTGGCTACCCTTCCTTGCCTTCTTCTAGCCGCACATAGTATTAGATATCCATGTCCTTGTTGTATGTGTGTCAAAAGTGTGTGTGTGTCAAAGTCCCACATTGATTAAAAGAAAGACTCTCCTAGTGTATATATACTAAGGAATGAAGTAGGCTAGTAAAATGGGCTTGGAAGAGAAGTGGCCTTGCGCACATGAGACAGTCCAACTTAGGGCAATCATACCCAATGCTTCTAACCCCTTTTTCAAAAAGAAAGGAGAATGTTTTGTCTGTGGTAAACCAGGACACTATGCAGCACAGTGTAGGAAGAGAGCAACTCGTGATAAGCCTCGAAAGCCAAATGTAAATTTGGTACAACGAGATGGTGACAGTGATGATGACATCATTGCTGCAGTGGTGTCACAAGCTCTCTTGATTTCTGATGTGAAGAAATGGGTGGTAGACTCTGGGGCTACCAGGCACATATGTGCTAGCCAAGAGATGTTTACCACCTATAATCCTGTAAAGGAAGGGGAAGACCATGTTTACCTTGCTGATTCCCAAACTGCTAAAGTTCAAGGAAAAAGGAAAGTGGTCTTAAAGCTCACATCAGGAAAGACTCTAGCTCTGAACGATGTTCTGCATGTGCCTGAAGTTAGGGCTAACTTAGTGTCAGTTGCTCTTTTAAAGAAATCTGGGGTTAAAGTGTCATTTGAATTTGATAAGATTGTAATGACAAAAGATAATGTGTTTGTAGGAAAAGGGTATTGTAATCAGAGACTGTTTGTTTTGAATGTTGATGAAATGAATAAGATTAAATCTTCTGAGTATATGCTTGTTTATATAGTTGATTCCTTTGATCTGTGGCATGTTAGACTAAGTCACGCTAGTAAAGGTTATATAAATAGGATGAGACAACTTGGATTATTTTCTGAAATTAAAAACAATGTTTTTGAAAAATGTGAAGTATGTGCAGAAACTAAACAAAGTAAAAAACCTCATTTTTCTGGTCAAAGAGAGTCTGAATTACTATCTTTAATTCACACAGATTTAGGTGACTTAAAACAAACCATGACTAGAGGTGGTAAAAAATATTATATCACTTTTATTGATGACTTTTCAAGATATACTAAAGTATACTTGTTAAGAAACAAAGATGAGGCTTTTGAAAAATTTCTTTTATATAAAGCAGAAGTTGAGAATCAGTTAAACAAAAGAATTAAAAGAGTTAGATCGGATAGAGGAGGAGAATATATTTTGTTAAATGATTTTTGTGAAAAAGAAGGAATTATACATGAGATAACACCTCCTTATTCTCCCGAGTCTAATGGTGTTGCAGAAAGGAAAAATAGAACATTAAAAGAGATGATGAATGCTTTACTTGTGAGTTCTTCTGCCCCTGATAACTTGTGGGAAGAAGTTATTTTGTCTGTATGTTTTTTACAAAATAGGATACCTCATAAGAAAATAAAGAAAACACCTTATGAGTTATGGAAAGGGTTTACCCCAAACTTAAAATATTTGAAAGTGTGGGGGTGTCTTGCAAAAGTTTTATTGCCTGATCCTAAAAAGAGGAAAATTGGCTCTAAAACTTCTGATTGTATGTTTATTGGATATGCTGAACAAAGTGCAGCGTATCGTTTTTTAGTTTTAAAAAGTGATGTTTTAGACCAAAACACAATTTTTGAGACTAAGGATGCTGAATTTTTTGAACAAATTTTTCCCTTGAAAATTAAGCATGTTTCTAAACCTGTTGAGAATTCAGAGTTTGAACAAAATTTAAATGAGGATTTGGTTTTAAGGAGAAGTAAAAGACAAAGGAAAGAAACAAGTTTTGGAGATGATTTTTACACTTATTTAGTACAAGATGAACCGTTAAATTTTTATGAAGCTATTTCTTCTCCTGATGCCAAATTTTGGAAAGAAGCAATTGAAATTGAAATAGATTCTTTAAGAAAAATAAAACTTAGGTTTTATCAAATTTGCCCCAAGGAGCTAAGACTATTGGGTGTAAATGGATTTTTAAGAAAAAATATTTTACAGACGGTTCAATTGATAAGTATAAAGCAAGGCTTGTGGCCAAAGGTTTTACTCAAAAAGAAAATATAGATTATTTTGACACATTTTCTCCTGTGACTAGAATATCTTCTATAAGAGTTCTTATTGCTTTGGCTTCAATTTACAAACTTTTTGTTCACCAAATAGATGTTAAAACCGCTTTTTTAAATGGCAATTTAGAAGAAGAAATATACATGGTACAGCCTAAAGGATGTGTGATTCCTGGGCAAGAAAATAAAGTTTGTAAACTTGTGAAGTCTTTATATAGCTTAAAACAAGCGCCTAAGCAATGGCATGAGAAACTTGATCAAGTTTTGACAACTGGTGAATTTTCTACTGTTGAAGTAGAAAGATGTGTTTATATAAAGTTTGTAAATAATGAATGTGTGATTATATGCTTGTATGTGGATGATATGCTGATTTTTGGCTTTAGTATGTGTGTTGTTAATGAAACAAAAAATTTTCTTTCTTCAAATTTTGATATGAAAGATATGGGTGAAGCCAAGGTAATCTTGGGTGTAAAAATCATAAGGAATGAAAATGGAATCTTGATTTCTCAAGAACATTATGTTGAGAAAATCCTCAGAAAGTTTGGACATCTTGAAGATGCTCCTTTGAGTACTCCTTATGATTCGAGTGTGCAATTAAAAAAGCACAAGGGTGACCCAGTTGCTCAATCTAAGTATGCACAGATTATTAGGAGTTTGTTGCATTTGATAAACTTTACTAGGCCTGATATAGCTTATGTTGTAGGCAGATTGAGTAGATATACTCACTATCCAGGTAGTAAACACTGGAAGGCTCTGGTGAGAGTCTTGAGATATTTGAGAGGTACCATGAATTATGGTATATTGTATAGTGGATTTCCCACTGTATTAGAAGGATACAGTGATGCTAACTGGATTTCGGATTCAGAAGAGACAAAATCCACTAGTGGTTATATATTCACTCTTGGTGGTGGTGCAATAACCTGAAAGTCTGCAAAATAGATGATCAACACAAAATCCTCAAGGGATTCTGAGTTCATTGCAATGGAGCTAGCTGGGACTGAGGCTGAGTGGTTGAAAAAATTCTTAGCAAGTATTCTAATAGGTGAAAAGCCCACACCATCAGTGTCTTTACATTGTGATAGCTAGTCTGCAATAGCAACAGCTAAAAATAAGACCTTCAATGGTAAAAGTAGACATATTCGATTGAGACATAATATTATAAGGCAGCTGCTTAAAGACGGGGTCATCTCAATCGATTATGTGAGATCAGAGTTAAATCTGGCGGATCCGTTAACTAAACCCCTAAGGAAGAAATTTATTATTGAAACGTCGAGGGGAATGGGACTTAAGCCTATTTTAAATTAACGGTGATGGCAACCCAACCTTTGCGATTGGAGATCCCATGAAGAAGGTTCAATGGGTAAGAACAAGTTACTTGTTAGTTCTGCTAGCACTAAATTCTATCCGTTCCTATGGCTTAAGAAAGTGCTAGAATGCATTGAACGGAGGCTGAGCGAAAGCTCTTAATGTTTTCATAGTCCTTACGGATGGTGTATTCATTGCAGATACACTTGATGAAAACACCTATACAAATGTGGAGTGAGGCCGCTCCTATGAGATCGTGGCAAAATCTCTAGAGCATTTGTTAAAACTAGGCGTGCGCATGGCCGATAACATGCAAAACCGTCGTTAATAGCAGAGACTGTGGGGGTATAATCCGATTAATAAGACCTCTAGTACATGCTCAAGATCTGTTGGTTCAATAACGAAGTTACACTGACTTTTCTATATGCTAAGTTTTATTAGTCTAGGTTTGGTTCAAGTCGACAGACACCAAATTCAAAGTGATTATCCTCAGTGTGAATAACTCAGACGAACATAAATCCTTTTGACACATGTGGGGGATTGTTGTATGTGTGTCAAAAGTGTGTGTGTGTCAAAGTCCCACATTGATTAAAAGAAAGACTCTCCTAGTGTATATATACTAAGGAATGAAGTGGGCTAGTAAAATGGGCTTGGAAGAGAAGTGGCCTCACGCACATGAGACAGGCCAACTCAGGGCAATCGCAGTTGAAATCAGCCGATTCGCCCCCCTGCGCGTGAGTTCAAGAGGTAGTGGGTTCCTTTTACCGGATTATTTTTACAAATTAATAATTATTTTGGCTTGCCGGAGAAACTCAAATTTTGGCTATCTGGAGTTTGAAATCAAACCAAGAACGTTTTTTGATCATTAAACAAAT